TTTCATTAAAGAACTCCAATTCAAAGCTACAGAATATATAAAAGCAATTGAGTGAATTCTATTTGCTAAGTTGAATAAATTGCAAATTGTTAAAAATGAATAATTAGAAATGATAATTATAGTAACATGGCTAAATAATACAAGAATAATTGAAGATAAACTTGCAGAATATATACAGTTACGTATTAAATCATGCAGTATTAATTTTAAGAAATTATATAATTTTCAAACATGCGATTTGTTTGTAAAAGATGTAAGTTAGTTTATTATTATTTGGTTACTCATTATTTATAATGATAATATTAATAATTTAATATTTTTATAAGCTTAAAAATTGTATACAGATAGAAGGAAATATCATATATAGAATTACTCAAAATACAGAAAATCAATATATAATTGTAATACCAAATGAATTTAATTCTAGAAGAAGCGATTCAAATGAAAAATGTAGACATCACAACACTTCACCTGCTTGGTGCCAATCCTGTAATCCTTGAATAGCAACTTAATGGACAAGTGAGAATGCAAAGATTGATAATTTCATCAAAGAACTCCAATTCAAAACAACGGAATATAAAAAGATGATTGAGTGGATTCTATTTGATAAATTGAATAATTTACAAAAGATTAGAGATGAAAAATCAAAAATAATATTTAAGGCTACATGGTTAGATGGTAAAAGAATAATTAAAGGTGAACTTAGAAGTAAGTTAATTTACAGCAGTATCATATTGTCATCGATGTTATTAATACATTTAAACCTTTTATAAGCTTATAAAAATTATATGCAGCAAGAAGAAAATATTATATATGAAATTACTAAAAATAAACAAACCAAATAAATTTAACCCCAGAAGAAATGGAATAAGCCAAAGCTATAAACATCACAACACTTTTCCTGCTTGGTGTCTATTTTGCGATTTTTAGAAAACAATTCAAGTATGGATATATGAAAATGGAAAGATTAATTATTTCATTAAGAATTCTAATCTAAAGCTATGGGATATAAAAAGATAATTAAATAGATTCCATTTAATAGATTAAGCAAATTACAAAAAATCAAAGAAGAATTAGAAATTATATTTATAGTGATATGGCTAGATGGTATAAGAATAATTAAAGATGTATCTGAAAAATATATACAGCCATGCACTATATCATCGGTTGATTTTATTATTCTCAATCTAATACTCTAAAACTATTAAAAAATGTAAGTTAAATTATTCATTATTCTATTTTATTGTTTTGAAAATTAAAATATTAATTAATTAAATACATATTTTCTAAGTTAAAGTTCATATACAATTATAATAGAGAAATATAGAATCTATGGAATAACTCAAAATATAGAAACTGATCAATACATGCTTGTAATTGATTTTATAGTAACAAAAGAAAAGTTTGCAATAGAAAATATGAGCACTGTAAATGATACAATACCAATCCAGCTTGGTATCAATTGTGTAATCCTCAAGAGTGATCCAAAAACAAGTGGCAATAGGAACATAGATGATTGTATTAAAGAATTTCAATGGCATTTGAGAATATTATTAAATGAATTTAATATAACAAACTAGATAATAAAGTTTGGTACAGTATATTTATCAATTTGGTTAAATAGTAAATGAATAGTTGAAGGTAATAATAATTTTGTATACGATTTCACAAAAAATCTAGAGTTGAAACCAGGTGAAAAATTGTTACCTGGATTAGGGGAGTGCCATTTATTATGTAATTTTTTGTTACTATATGCTAAAACCCTCTCCCCTCTACATGATATTATATATAAAAATTTATATTAAATCACATGATCGATGACCAATCAAATTATGAATTTTATCAATATAAAAAGTAAAAACATTAAAAATACAACAAAAATAAAATATAATTTTATATATAAACTAGAAATAGGCTTCATATATACACATGATTTCAAAGTAAGTACATATTATCCCATTAAAAAAATTTTTTGAGTGTTTTTTTTACCATGCATGCATTAATATGTATAATTCAAAAAATATATAAAACATATATTTATACACATTTTATTCAATTGCTATTACTTATAAAAATGTGATTTATATATAAACTTAGATAAATATATAAATAAAATTTATCTTTTATATATATAAAAGCCTTATTAACTATAGATATTATGAGAGAAATTATATAATTGTTGAAATATAGATTATGTGTAAAGAGTTAAATCCAATTTGCTATTAATATTAATGTTTATATGGTAATATAATTTATTCTCTGATTTTGGTATTAATATACTTCGGAGCTACTAACCATAAAAGTCAAGTAATAAAATTCATTGTCACACATATAATAACAAATCAGCGATACTAAAATAATCAAAATTGTATAAGTGGCTGTGCAAAAAAGTGTGAAATCTAAAGATAAATTTGAATATATCTACAAATTCACATGAAAAAAAAGTGAAAAAAGTTAGTTTAAAAAAACTGCATAATTGGCTATGCAAAATAGCATGAAATCTAAAGATATATTTTTGAATTCACACAAAAAAAAGTGAAAAAAATTAGTTTAACTGCATAAGAGGCTATGCAAAAAGTATAAAGCCTAAAGGTAAATTCAAGTATATTATATGAAAAAGATGTAAAAAAGATTAGTATAAAAATTAAAATGAATTACTTCAGCTAATGCTATATTAAATAAACTCTTACTATATTTGTAGCGTGAAATTGAAGATAAAGTTTTGTAAAAAAAAGAATCTGTAAAAAAAAAGTATATAAATAAAATTAGTAAAATTACTAAAAGTATTCTAAATTCAAAATAATAATTCGATAATAACTATTTTTCTTACCAAGTATTTTAAAGCATTTCAATACAATATTTAACCTTTTCATTAAACATTTTTGAAACCATTAAAATTTAATATCTCTAAGTTTAAAATGAGTCAAAGCTTTCTTTCAACACCCAAGTTTTCGAAAACCTATTTGTATACTACTCCTACAATACTATACTATAAGTTTTGCAATGCATTTGCATATTTTACAATGGTTAAAGCTTGTAATCCAAGTATAAAATGAAAATATTTAATGAATGTAGCAAATATAGAATGGCAAAAATACTGAAAAGAACCTGAGATAAAAGTTAGAAAACTAATTAACCAATACCTTATAGCAAGTTTCTCTATTATTCGAACAACAAACTTCTTTCTTTCTCCAAATTTACCTAGTTCAGAGTTATTAAATTTCAATTCCAATATCGATCTTAACACCAATTCTAGTACTAGTATCTTATTTTCATCCAATAAAATACCTACTGTTGCTCCTAATACATCATCTCAGTGTCAAGCTCTAGAATTAATTCAAGAAGCAAGATCTAAAATAAAAAATATAAATGTTTATTAGCTAATACTAGTAATAAAGATTTTCAATATCAAATATACAAAAATTAAAAGATGTTTATACAAAAATTGTACAAGAAGAAAAGCATTTTAATCTACTTCAGCAATGTGCCACAGCTTAGGGAAGATTTCAAAAAAAGAGAAAAAGCCAAATTAATGATGGAGTTATTGAAATATATGATACTAGAGGATGCCCATTTGAGTTCCAAAAAAATTCAAACTTACTTGATTAAATACATGAATATATAGAATTTGGAGTGGCTAATAAAAAAAAAAAAAAAACTGTAATCAAAGTTCATACTATTAAGTATATAAAAGAGGATTTACAAGAAAGATATAATGTTTATATTACTTGACAAGCACTTTTAACTTATTTTTTACCTTAACATGCAAATACTCGTAATACACTTCACTATTGCTATTCTGCAAATATTAAAATTAGTGCAGTTTTTAGATCTGAAATGAAACCTCATATTGATAAACACTATTGTTTAGTATCTGTCAAAACAGCTAGAGTTTTTGCTTCAATCTTCACCAACTATAGCCTTATTATCTCTCAAAATAATAAAGCTAAGGTTGGTTTAGGCGTTCCAGCAGTTGGTAAAACTTTTCAAAGTATACAATCTTTCAATGAACCTATTAAAGTATCTGATTATGATTTTCCTCATAGCACAAAACAAAAATTAATACCTTCAGTTTATTTAATTATTAATCTTGATAATATTAATGAGTCATTATGTCAAGGTCAACTATCTATTTATATTTGTTCTAAAAATTTTGTTAGAACTTCTTTATTGTCACATATAAGAGATTTACTTGAAATTACAAAAAACGATAAGTATTTGCAAATACTAAAACATGAAGATCATCTTAGATTTATATAGATTTTGTTAGTAGATGGTGGACCTGATGAAAATCCAAAACATTAAAAAATATAATTGAATATTGCCGCTTGTTTTGTAAGCTTAATTTAAATTATCTATCAGTTTGAACTCATGCTTCTTACTAGTTAGCATATAACCCAGTTGAGCGCAGTATGTGTACATTGTTTGAAAAGCTTGCTGGAATTGAATTACCTGTTGATAAATTTGGACCACATCTTAATAGTCAGGGTGCGATTATAGATGAGAACTTGGCAAAATGTAACTTTGAATTTGCAGGTAAGTGTTTGTATGAAATTTGGGTATGTGATAAGATTTATAAAAAACAGGTACATGTTGATTATATTGGCTATGATGAAGACCTATTTCAAAATAATAGAAAAGAAATTCCTTCATAGTCATGGATAGAACACCATACACAAATCTGCTGTTATTCCCTTGATATACAAAAATATTCTGACTATAGTTGCTGTGGTAATATATATACTAAGGAAGCATTTGATCTATTAAGAGAGAATAATGATTTTTTTCTGCCATTAACTAAAGGAAAAAATAATTATTATTTAAACCCAATTCATATTTTATGATATATGAATAAAATTAAGTTACTTAAATATTATAAAATATGTTCTTCAATATTATCAGAAATGTATTAAAGATTTTGTTACAATATATGTAACAAATATTTTTCTACTATAAAAATGATTTCCAACCATAAAAAGTTAAACCATTCCAAAAAAAAAATGCACAAACAATATAATCTTGATCTTTCTATCAAATCTGCAAATAATACACCATCCAGCTGCTTAATTTTTTCTTCAAGATCTACAGAGTCATATTTATCTATAAAAGAAATTCTTGTATCATTAGATATACAACAATTTGAATTAAATAATGCAGCCTTTTTGGAAGATTTCTCAAACTTATCTTCTATTGATTACTCTTACAAATTCGAATCTTCTTATGTACTAGAAGCACTTTCTGATGTTGAGTAAAACCATAGATATCTAATCGTCTAATATTAAATATATTATTTATTTCATTCTAAATAATAATTTAATTCTATCTATTCCTTGTTTCAGTAATAAGTAACAATTTGAATTATATTATATAGAAGACATAAATGATTAGTATTTGTGCTTTATAAAAAACTATTAAGAATAGCAATAAATATTTTATTTCGAAAATAAATATTAATAAAATGTTAGTTAATCTTGTTGTGCTTTAGTATAAATAAAGTTTATTAACTAAAATAAGATACATGACCAAATCAAAACTACTTATCCAAATACGAATATACAGTATTAGAACGTACAATTTTCATGATCTAAATTTGATATAATATATTAATCGATATCTATGCAATATCACATGATTATGATAGCCAATCAAAACCTTGATTTTATATAGACATGATAAACTACTACTACTCCCTCCCCCAATAAATTACATAATAAATAGCATGCCCCTTACTGGGTTGGATCATTTATAGATAAGATATATACTATACAATAATCTTTTTTCCAAACCTGTTTTTTCATACTGTTTAATAGTGGTATACACCATTAACTTTGAAAAACTGAGAACTTGGGCAATATAAAGTGGCTTAAAATCACACAGATAAGCACTGATAATACAGCTTTGTTAATTCTAACAGTTCTTTGTAATGGAGTTTTTTTTTAATACTCAAACAAATGCCCTGGCCCAACAAAGTTTTTTTGAGCATGATAAACATGCTTCAGTTCATATTGCAAATATGAATTATGAAGCACTACTGGCTGACATAACTAATAAGCTTAATCTTTAACTTGGAACAACACTTACCGACAGAGCCACCCATATCTTTATAATTTAGGTTGAAAAAACTGTATAGCCTGCAAAAAGCCTTTTTTGAATGAAAAAAAAGAACAAGATGAAAAAAAGTGGTGTCGTGAGCATTTAAAATAGATCAATAAATAGCAAATAGTCATTTTTTTTGACAAGTCAAAATTTTGTCTTTATAAATCAAATAGTCGTGCAAAAAGTTGGTGTTGAAATATCACAAAGATTGTATAAATCTAACTGTGAAGTTTGGTGGCAGCTCTGTGATATTTTGGGGTTGTTTTTCTTGGTAGAGAGTTGGACTATTAGTAGAAGTAAAAAGTAATATGAATTCAGATAGTTATGTTAATATACTCACAAAATATTTTATTCCTTGGCCAAATTCTTTATTAAAAAAATATCCAAATAAATAGAAATAATATTCTAGCAAGATTTGGCTTCTGTCTATATGTTAAAATATTCAGAATAGTGAATGAAATCACATGACTTTAGCATATTAGATTGGGTGCTCTATAGTCCTAATCTAAATCCTATTAAAATCTTTGAAAACATCTCGATTCGGCAGTGCATAGCAAAAGACCAATGCCTAAAAAGCGAGAAGAATTGGTTAGATATATAAAAGAAGAATGGAATATATCAATTAAATGAGGTTGAGTCAATAGAAACCAAGCAAATTTTTTTTAATAAGTTTTTTAGAAACTTTAAACAAGAATAACTTAACAAAA